TACAAACTCAAAATCAATAGTAATTACATATTTCATTTTTGGTATGTATTATAAAGGTTTTTCTTACACATATTAGTACGTACATCGAGAGCGATATAGACAGTTGAATGTGTTTGTAACTTGCCATGCAATCAACCTATAAAATTATGTTCATAAATCAATAAATTGCTGTTACTTACACTAAGATTATATTGTAACTAAGCAATCCAACTGTAGCTGTAGGTTCTCAGCAGAGAAGAAGATCGATTACAAGGATCGCTTACTAGTTAAAATCAACAATGACCATTTTGTTGAATTGAATGCCTTTGACAGAACGACTTGAGCCGTCCTAGTGCTTCCTCAAGAGAAGATGGATCCGCCGCGAAGGTTATTCTAATCCAGTTTTTGAGACCAACAGCGAGTCCTGCAAATGTTTTGTTCAAAGAAAGAAGAAGAATTAACCTAAATAGTCGCCCACTCAACCTCTTAAACTAGAAATAGTCGGCAGATGTATAATACGTGTATAACCGTATATAATCAGATATCAGTGTATAATCTATGTATAGCGGCTAGGAAAAGTAAACAGCGAATCCAGCCAACTGTTTTGTAAAGATCCAAGTAAGAAATCATCTTGATATTTTAATAATTGCATGCTCATTTATATCTCCAAAAGCCTTGGAGTAACGATAATTAGCCACTGATGCTTGCATCAGGGTAGGCTGCCTACTTCACACTCACTTGGGTTGCGGCCCTTCCCTGGACCCTGCATAAACATGGGATGCTTCGTGCACCGCGCTGCCCTTTTTTTATTTATATCTCCAAACAATTATTTCCTGAACTATTAGACTTCCTCTTATTTTTGTTCTCTTCGTGTTTGTGGTTTACTTTTTCACTACTACGACCATCATTCTTACTCGATTGTTAGTTCTTACCTGGAAGGAGTATAACAGATTCTTCTTTCGCCAGTTTGAAACAGAAGTCAATATCATCGCTAATGTCTGTTAAAAGCAATAGATTCAGCTTCACCTGCATATATTAGAGAAATTGTTTTATAAAGGAGCTCATATCCCGGATAAATTTATAGGTGAACGATTTCTCTTACTGCTCACCATTACGGCCATTGAGCCTTCTGGTTTATGCGGACAGCTAATACAAGGAATCTCCTTTATCTTTTCGCAACAAATGTCTGCTGTCCACTTCAACAAGTTAATGGTTTTCCTGAAGAAAACTTCTTCGGTTTGCTGAATAATGCGAGGGACCGCCGCCTTCAACATCAACAGTTGTTAGTATCAGGTTATTGGCGCAGATATTAAATAACTTGCCTAAAATTCCGCTATGGGATAGCTATTACAACCAAATATCTGATAAATATAATCCCAAAAAATATCCTGGAATTAATATCCTTATCCTGATAACCAAACGACCCCTGATTGTATTTATGAGTTATCATATCAATAGCTAAAACTCTACGACGCTTTAGACATATAATAACAATATGAAGGATTAAATGCAAACCTGTATAAAGGTAGCTGGACCTCCACAAATGTCACAATACTTCTTAATGCGCTCAACAAACTGATAAATTATATCCATAGAAAACTCGTGTTATTGCCGATAATACTATCATAATTCCAGAACAATTGATCCCTAAGTCTTGATTATGCTGTGTTTAGTACAAACCTTTGGATTTTTGAAGGTGCCATTGGGATCATTTGTGACAAGCCAGCCGAGGCGCCAGCCAGGAACTAACCATCGCTTAGATAAAGAACCAAGAGTAAGCACGGGAGCAATGGCGCCAAAAACTCCCATCGACACAAATGGTTTAGCTCCAAAAGCAAGGTGCCCGTATACTTCATCCGCAATCACTATGGTCCTAAGCTTCTTAGCAGTTTCCGCAATCTGATATTAACACAAACAAATTCTCAGAACTAATGCAGACGGCAAAAAGAAAGGAAAAGAATAGTACTCCACGCGTTTCAATCTATATGTCTTACTTTCCTTTTTCAGTCTGTTTCAAAAGGAATGTCACCTTTCTATATTTAGTAAATTCTTAAATTCAACATTCCCATTTTACCCTTAATGACACTACTATGTTTAAGACCACAGAATTTAAAGGGTATTTTGATATGTTATACACATCTTTAGTTTAAGACGACAAGATGCAAATAAAAACCTTTACATTATTAAACTCTACTCCCAAGCAAACTAAGACATGAAATAAAGGGGAGGGAGTAATCGTTGTGTGTAAAAAGAGTACTAAAGAGCAACCTCTTGAAGATGCTGATAACTATAAACATTTCCACAAGGATTCCCGGGATTTATAACAACTATGCCAATAGTGTTACAATCAGCTAGAGCTTCGACAGCATTGAGATCAACCTCCCAGCCCTTGTCCGGAACAAGATCAAAGTATCTAACTTCGATGTGTCTAAAGGCGGCACAAAGTGCATAAATTGGGAAACCAGGCCTTGGTAGTAATATGTTAGCACCGGGGCGAGCCAGAATTGACAAGGCTATTTCAATGGCTTGAGTGCAACCAGCTGTGACATAAACATCATCTGCACATAACTTTTCTGGAAGGTCACGCGACAAATAATCTGCAATTGCCCTGTTCAATCAATAACATGCAACAACAGATTAAAATTAAGAGACCGAGTGGTAAAAGATAAAAATAAAGCAACTTCATTGAACATTCAGAACAATTCAAGAAAAAGAAAAGGAATGGAAGGGGAAAAGAAGTTACTACCTTCTATCCATATTTTCCGCAATCTTTTAAGGTTTTTGCGCATAAGATTGACAGTTAATAACCTTAATCATAAGAGTATTTCTAAACTACCATCTATCTCTCATTAAACGTCTCACTTAATTAACACTTCACTAATTAGAACAGTACAGGTAGATTCGGAAAGAAGCATTATGACTTCTAAAACGTCAAATATTTTGAAACAAATTCAGATTGCATTAATATTTGGGACCAAAGGGAGTAACAAATATGGATTGCCTACACAGTAATAACAAGAAAAGCTCATATTTTCCTAATTCTATATTGCCTACACAGTAATAACAAGAAAAGCTCATATTTTCCTAATTCTATATATCTGCAGTATAATTGAAGGCGAATTAAGGTTGTGGGCTAGCGTCAATCTACGAAAGGAATTGAGAACCATGAAGTCTCATGTGCAAATATGCTGCGCAGAAATATTATGTGATTTCTTCTTATCTGTCCAAATGTTGACGGATAGAGTTACTCGGTACTTGATGCGAGACATTATGTATCTCGTGGAATTAATTGCGGTACGTGCAAGCTGGCCAAGAACATCACGGTAATAATAAAAACAAATGAAGGAGAATTAAGGTGAGTGTACATTACTAAAATGTCAAATATTTTGAAACAAATTCAGATTATCAAAACGACTAATATTTGGGACCGGAAGGAGTAACAAATATGGAAAACCTACAGAGTAACAAGAAAAGCTCATATTTTGCCAAGTTTTGTTTATATATATATATATATATATATATATATATATATATATATATATATATATATATATATATATATATATATATATATACACTTTGCAGTATAAGTGAATGTGAAGGAGAATTCTGTCCAAGCCTTGGTGGACAGAGTTACCTTGTGCTGGCGGAAGGTAGTAGGTATAGGCGAATAAAATATTGGATTTTAGAGCTTTATAACATATATCGATCTTTTAAGTTTGAATACCGAAGGGGAGGCTTGGCGTAACTGGTAAAGTTGCTGTCATGTGACCAGGACATCACGGGTTCAACCCGTGGAAACAGCCTCTTGCAGAAATGCAGGGTAAGGCTGCGGCTGCGTACGATAGACCCTTGTGGTCCGGCCTTTCCCGGACCCCGCATAGCAACAGCTTAGCGCACCGAGCTGCCCTTTTTTAAAATTGAACACTACTGGGGAAATTTCTGGCTTAGCCACTATTAGCAAATAGCAGGTCTGACTGAAATTAGTGGAGGTGCACGCAAACTAACCCGACGAAAAAGGTAAAACTGAAAAACAATTGAGGTGAGAACATTACCTTCTGGTTTGAGGAAGGCCAACAGTAGGAGAATAACCATTGAATTTGTGAGAAGCAAGAGTTTCAATAACAGCATTTTGTGCAACATCAGGAGAATGGAAACAAGAATAAGCTGTAGGATCACCCATTCCCAAAGATATCACCTTCTTCTTCCTCTTATTCTTCTTGAAATTTCCACCATTTTCGTCATCTTCATCTTCAGCTGTTTCTACATTAGCCATTAACAATCCAAGAATGCCTTTGATTGTAATATTATTTGGGGTTTCAATTTCTTGGTTGTTAACTCCGTCACTCAAATTTTCCTTCACTTTCACTTCATTGGTCTCCTCCATTTTTTTTTAGTTGAAATTTCAGCTCAATTTGAAATTACTCTTCAGCTCTGAAATTGGAATTTTGGTTTGTTAAATAGAGAGACAAAAATAATAGTCTAAAATGCAAAGAATAGGAGTGGTTTGTTAAAGGCCACTCGTTTTTTAGACTTCTAGAGCTTCACGCTCTATTTTTTGTTTTTAACTCATCCTAATCTTGAACTTACTAATTCAATTAATTCACACTCGAATCATTTAATATTTTGATATACTAACTTCAATGGTTCAATTAATTCAGATTCGAGTTGTGTCAATCCATTATGGGATAACCAAAAAAGTTTCTATTTTAAAGGCTCAAATTTCGAGATTTTTTTATTAAAGTCGGAACGATCTCAACCATCCCATCGCACCTCTCTTGATTTCAGTAGAGCATGCGTAATCAATCCGTTCAAATTTTTACCGTATAAATAACAACAACAAATTTAGTATGGGATTTGGGGAAGGGAGTGTGTACGTAGACCATACCCCTAATTTGCGAAGATAAAGAGGTTATTTCTCATATACCCTCAAGGAACAATAACAAGGAAGCAACCAACCATAATATAACAAGAAAAGAAAGAAAATATTGACTCGCGTATACTAATAAATATCTAGAGATAAGAAAATATTACTAATACTATCAATAAGAAAGAATATTACTAGTACTACTGATAACACTAGGAGACATCCTCGACTCCCTATCAACCTTCAACCTTAATTCTTCACCTCTACACTTTCCTATCTAGGGTCATGTCCTTGGTAAGCTAAAGCTACCCTATAAACCTACTACTATATGATTAAATGCTTCTTATTAAGAAGTTCTTCAATTTTAAAGCTCTAAGTTATAAGGATCTCAACTATCTCGTACTTTTATTCGGTAGAGTGAACACATAGAAAAAATGACATTATGTAGACGCTTTCAAAATAATAACGGAAAAAAGTATAGTATTTTTTTATATAGTTTTTTATTTTTTATGTTATATATAAAAAAATATATAAAATTATACACTTGTTTGATTATTATATATAAATAACTTTGATCGCGGGCTAAAGACCTTTCCCCGAACATATAAGAGACAAAAGTTAGACCAAACATTTTTTAGGTTTGCATTGGTGGATGAAATTAAACAAAAAAAAGTAAACTAAAATTATGCCAAAATTGCTTGAACTGAAAAAAGATCCGTGTTCTAAGTGGGGCCCAGTTTGGAACTTGTCGGATCCAATATGTGGGACCCATAAGATACTAGGAAACTGTCCGTATTCTCTGACGCTGTGTGGTTAAAAGTTCCCCACGCGCCCGGATGAGAGCTTTATACTCTTCGTGGTGTTGAAAAATTATTTCAATTTTATAATTAAGAAAATTGGTGATTTAGAATATTTATTTACATTTTGCCTAGATAATTATACTGATTTCTTACTTTTCTTTTGAATTTTAAACAATTTTTAACGTACATTATGCAATACATATATATATATATATATACACACACACACACGTTATGTATTTTTTTATTTATAAATGTTGCCTTATTTATATATAAATTAAAAAATTTGTGGGGCTTATGCCCTGACCCATAAACCTTTTAAAACAATTTTTAAAATAGATAAAATAGGATTGGATTGTGTAAAATACACTAAAATTGTATAAAATGTTAATAAGTAAAATATGTAAATATTTATGTATGGGTCAAAGTCTGACCATCAGATGATTATCATTAAAGGGAATGGTAAGAGGTCGATCCAGCCATGGTCGTGCCCACGAGGCGTAATGGCGACGAGTATCACGGCCACTGCCGAGATCAAGCCATTAGAAGGCTCACACGGCGGAATGTAATACTTGGGCGAATGAGGAAGAGTATAGTCATGAGAGTGTATGCTGGTTAAGGACTGTTGGGTAAAAGGAGAAATTGTCAATATATATGTGAAGAGGACAAAGCAGGAGAGGGGGGACAAACCTCTGAGAAACAAAAGAAGAAGTCTAGATTTCGGGTTACAAACCTTTGTAATCTCCATTGCTGAATCAATGAAGCTAAATCTCATAGTTACCAACGAGATTCCTCCCTTATCTTCTTTGCTTGTACAAGTATGAAACCATATATCAAAGATGTAAGCTTATTTTTTACATTTAGCATCTTTCAATCCTTCTAAGAAATGTTGTATAAACTCGATCCCTATGATTTTAGTATCCATTATGTCTAGATCTAAAGTTTATTATGTTTGTCTATAATTTACCCTCTATTTCATCTTTAATTGGTGTAACTAAAAGGCTTAACATTTTTTGGTCAAACAATTTAGGCACCATAACATATGTATACAATTATCTATTATTGATCAAGCATATTACAAAGGTACTACTAAATAGTATTAAAAGAAACTAAAGAAGACATATGTTTAATTTTTAGACATGGAGTAGGCAGCTTAATGTTAAAAAAAGAAACTTATCTGAGCGTATTAATATTTATTACTTAATGATGATTAAGTGATATGTATTACCACTATAGTTTTTATTTATCGAATCTATTCTGTATTTTAAAACATACTTTCCTCCCTTAAAATTAATGAATTAGGGAAAGTAATAGTGCACTATATTTTTAAAAATGATGTTATAAAGATGATTGGTTTGACTAAACTCCAATTTTACAGTTTTTTATTGTTGAAATCAGAGACGGAGTCAGGATTTCATGAGGTTCGGGATTCTAATTGTTAAAAGTTACTGGGTTCTAAATTAATCATTTATACATATTCAATGGATTTTGTAAGAAAAACACAGGGTTCGAATCAAAGTTACTGGGTTCGGCCGAATCCGGTCCCGGCACTCTACCTCCGCCACTGGTTGAAACTCATTTAATTTGTATACGTAACAATTACTGCCAATATATAGATGAGTTTGGCTTCTAATACGTGCTAAGTTGAAACTCATTTAAGTTGTATACGCTATATGCACTAACAAACTATGTTCCGCGGACTCTACAAAATATTGTCGTATCGGTGTCGGCTATTCTCCAAAAAGACATTATTTTTTATGGATCCTACGCATATTCAATGACATTTTCGGAAAATCCGAGCAATATAGCTGACAAGTGACAGCAAAATGATATTTTACACTATCAAAAATTTTAAACCTGTTATAGTTTGGTGTGTCAAAACATTTTATAAACTTGAATTAAACCGAACTTATGAATCAATGTTTAGGTAACATCTCGTAAATACATAAATTTTTGTACGAGCCAATAATGGTATCAAAATAATTAGGATAAGTTTGTATTTTCAAATAAAAATCGAAAAAGTACCAAACCAAATCTACTTAATAATGCGTACAAGAATCTCATACCTGCAAGATAAGCACGTTACTTCAAATATATATATATATATATATATATATATATATATATATATATATATATATATATATA